AATATTGACCCTTTTGTATGCATTGCATCTGCATATTAGTTCAAGGTACAGCTGGCAAGGCACCAGTTTAGGTGATTTAGGTCTAACAGAATCAGGTATTTGCCTACTTGATCCCATTCGTTTGTCGCATGTAGCCTGAAACCAATGTGCTATTTGAATTTTTAAAATTTTGTTAATCAGACACACATACACACCTTAATATGCCAATATAGTGTTTCTGATTTGGCTGAAATTATCAGCTTTTGATCAAATGCTTATGTAGTTTCTCTATTAGCTGATTTTTTTGAAAGGAACTTCATTTGATGCATACTTAAAAAGCGGTCTCTCAAATAGTGTTATTTTAGAGTTGAGGGACTGTATAAATGTGTATACACACAAATGACCTGTACTTGATCCTGTTAGTTTGTTGCATTCAGTTTGATACCATGAACCAATTTGTGATAGATAAGGTACTAGGTGAATAATTTGAATTCAGTTTATGTAGTCGATTTAGTACTGGCAATCTGGCATCTTGGAGTTCAATTTCAGATGTATTTCAATCAAAATGTCAGATCAACTGTTTAGAGCTTTATTAGGCCATTTTTTTCTTGCATGAGTCCTATGTTCATGACTGGCTTTTCTTGAGTTAGATTTCACCGCAAGGATGTGCTTGACCTCCAGTGGTCTGCTGACGGTGCATATCTCATCTCCGGGTCAGTGGATAATTCTTGCATCATATGGGATGTGAACAAAGGTAAGAAAGAAAATGGCTAACCAAAATAACTGTAGCAAATATCTGTTAATAGTTCATAAAAGATGATCTTGCCTGTTTCTATTCATCAGGTTCTGTCCATCAGATTCTGGATTCCCATTGCCATTATGTTCAAGGTGTGGCATGGGACCCATTGGCCAACTACGTTGCTTCCCTTAGTTCTGATAGAACTTGTCGCATTTACGTCAAGAAACCTCATTCAAAAGGGACAGGTGCTGAGAAGACAAATTATGTTTCTCAGCATGTTATTTCGAAGGCTGAACATCCACTTTCGGATGATTCTAAGGTTAGCAAATAGTAAATCATCTATGCATTTTGTTTTTATCATAATAATACATGGAATACAAATGTCCTAAGCTTCTTGACGTTTTCTAATGCAGTCTGCTAAAAACCATCTCTTTCTTGATGAGACATTGCCATCTTTCTTTCGAAGATTAGCATGGTCACCTGATGGATCATTTCTGCTTGTTCCAGCAGGTACTACCTCAATAGAATGCTCACCGAAATGTGGACTTAGTGTAATTTTCTGTCCATGATGGTCAGTTGTGTTCCAATGGGTGTTGTATGTTTGTTACCACCTCCCCCATTTTTGTTGGCAATTATTATTGTATGGATGACATAGCCTCTAGGTGAGGACTGTAACTAATTTAGTAGCATCCATTGGGTTAGTCTACTTTGGAGAAATGTAATTTGCTCCATCATCTTTTCGATGGACAATGCAATATTCATGGATCTCAGTGTCAGTTATAAGTTGAGAAGATCTAGCTTAAAGTAAGGATCATAAATCCAAATGCCAACTTGAGTTAGCACACATGAAGCTAGCCTTGGGTGGTCACGAATGATATGATAGCAAATAGTTGTGGGGTTCAAGGGCCATGGTTATGGTGACACTTGGGGCCATTGAGGGAATGGGCCACGTCAAATAGTATATGTATCATATGAGTGATTTTCTTGTTGGTGAAGACCCAAAGGCCTAAAGAATGAGAAACTTTGATACCATTAAATCTCGCATAGGCTATGGGTGGGTAGATTTAGGGTATTTAAGTAAGTTCAAGAATGTAATATTCGTTACTTGTACTTTTCTTGATTAAGGTTTTAGCAATTTAGGGGTTGGTTTTATTGGTTTCTGTGCTTTATGTGTTGTAGGGCCTTAAGTATGTCATGCTATTGTTTTTTGTTTAATTGAATTACGACAGCTCAAAAGAACCCATTATTTGCAATCATACTGATTTTCAGGACTCTTTGAAGTGAACTTAATTTTTGATGATTGAAGTACACACCATTTTAATTTCCAGTGTTGGTAGATTCGCTCAAGACATGTATGACTTGTATTAGGCTATAAAATGAGGGTAGAGAGACTCTGGAATTTATGGACTGAAGCGTCTCTAGAATAACATACTTCGGTTTTAGACCTTTCTGACGTGTGACTACTTATGCTGGATTTTTAAGGGAGTGTAGGTGCTTGTGGAATTCAATATGGCAGATAGTGCTATCTTGGTTTAGGGCCTTAGTTTGAATTTTGTTTGATAGGTTAAGCGCCTTCTTAAGGCTCGTTACTCAGGTTGATTTTGTGCTTTTGTGTCTTGAGTATAAGTATCCTAGACTGCTTTGGAATTATGGTAGATATGTACATGTATGCCTATACGTATGCAAATAAGAATATGCCTATAAGTGTATGTATGTATGTATGGATGTATGCATGCATCGATCTTTACATAGTTTGAACTTTTAATGGGTTGTAATTTTGTTTAGGATTGGTGCATATATGTTTTAAAACGATGAAAAGATGATCTGAGATGCCCTATTTAGGTTACTGTATGTTCCTGAAATAAGATGGTCATTTAGACATCCCTCTGAATCCTGACTCTCTACTATCCATAATTAGTTAATTACCACTAATGTTAGGGTTCATTACACCTTTTTTTGACGTAACAATCTTCCAATTTCAGGTTCCTACAAAGTATCACCCACACCAGAAACAGTGAATACTGCTTATGTATTTTCTAGGAAGGACCTTTCAAGGCAAGGCATCGGTGTTATTTTTTAGTTCTGAATATTGTTTCTCTTAAAATGATTCATCATCTATATTCCACCTAAGTTTTGTGTTGGGTATCATAGCATGATCCTGTGCTTTTCAGTGTCACGACTCACAATTGTCAAGTAAATTAACTAAGTTTGAAGGGAACTTTCTTCTTGCATTTATTCTCACATTTCATGTTAACACAGGCCTGCTCTACAGCTCCCTGGTGCCTGCAAACCTGTTATAGCAGTTCGTTTCTGCCCTTTGCTTTTTAGCCTGCGGGGGTCAAATCAATGTACGCTTGGTGGTTACATTGTTATTTTGCAACATATATTGTAGCTTTGTTGATGGATTATAGTAATATGAATATTCTTTGGTCAATTTGCAGCTGGGTTCTTTAACCTTCCCCACCGCATTGTTTTTGCTGTTGCCACTCTAAATTCTTTGTACATTTATGACACAGAGAGTGTTACTCCGATTGCTATCTTTGCTGGTCTTCACTATGCAGCTATAACAGACATTGCATGGTAAACTTTGTATCAGTTGTCTGCAGTAAACTATTTATTTGATGTTTTAATTGTGATAAGTTGGCCTCGGATGTTTTTTCTTCACAAGGTCACCCGATGCGCATTATCTAGCACTGTCTTCTCAAGATGGTTACTGCACTGTTGTTGAATTTGAAAATAATGAACTGGGGTCACCTATCTATTTATCAGGTTTTCTGTCCTTGCATTTTCTAAATCTATTTATCACAATTTTTGTATCCATCAATTCTTCCATTGCTTGGTTTATCCTTACTCCGGTTTCATTCTGCAACAGAAGAAAAGGCAGCCGTGGGTCACGAGAAGGGAAGCCAAGTTCACAAGCCAGAGGACATGGTAATTGAAGCTATGCAAAATGATAGTCCTGTTGAGAAGGAAGAGGACATAGCAACTGAAGCTACCGCAACTGATAGTCTTATAACAACAGAGAGTGGAAAATCAGAAACAAAAGGAAAAGAGGTCGTGGGTGAAGAGAACGAAAGCTCAGTTGAGAAGCCAGATGACATGGTAGTTGATAGTATTGTTGCAGAAAAAATGGGAAAATCAGAAGCAGAAGGGAATGAAGGTAAAAATGAATCACCAATTGTAAGTAAACCTTCGAAAAGGCGTATTACACCCATGGCAATTGACCCCTAATAGCTTCCACTCTCACCTCTGTAAACACTAATTAATGTAACGTTTCACTTGCCGGGTTCTGATCTCACAGCCAATCTTCAGTTGTAGGATTCGCTGTGGCTATTGAATCATAGTTACTGATGCTAGAAAGGCCATCCCTTTGATCCCTTTTGGAAGTTAATATTGTGAGAGCCAGATACCTTCGGAAATGTTTGCACTCATGAGTAGTAAGTTTGATTCTTTTTTCAATCGCAGTGTTTGGTAGTTGGCAAAGGTTTTAGACTATATTTAACACTAGCCAGTAGTTAATTCTTACGATAATTAAGAAGCTTTCTTCACCCTCCCACACAAGAGAAGTGGAATAATTGGTGATGCATTGATGATTGATTAAACATCGGCTTTTTGATTCCATAACACTCGAGTAGGAAAGGCGAATCGATGTTCAAAGCATTGATTTTGTTATCGGCAGCCAAACGGAGGCTTTTAACATAGGCCTTGATTTCCAACAGAAAGCTAACCTGCAATTGTGGTGCTGAACAGAGTAACCCTTATCGAACAGGTTGGCCAAGTAGTTGGCCTGAGGAATATTGTAACAAGTGAATGGGATGGGTTTAAAACCGCCCTTCAAGGAGGCAAAAAAACCATCCCCCCACATCAACATCCTTGCCTCCTTGTCGCATGGGAGCCGCATCACACTATCGACAATCTTAATCCCCAAAACCTCCTCCTCTATCTGTTTCAATCCGGTTTTGTACCCTAAACCACGAAAACTAGTCCCGAATGAGTCAGAAAGCGCAGTGTAATGGTGGACAGCCTCGCAGAAGAACTCTATGAAGGACATTGAAGGTACTCCCGAAAAATTCAACTCTCCTTCTACTAGGACAACAATCTTAGGCAATAGTTCTCATATGATCCAAGAATGTCCTCACCGATGCGAAGCTTCTGTTGGGCATGTGAAGCTGTGGATCATACAGTTGCCTATTAACACCGCATTGCCTACTCCAGTTATTCAACTAAATTCTTTTTCTCTGACCTGATCAAACACGAACGGCAAGTTGAGAGTATCAGTGAACTATTTTAGCCTTATTCCGGCTTGGTGAACAGTTTGCTGGTCGTCCACTGTGAAGGCTGTTACTCTGAGGGAAGCTGCGGGGCCACCTTTCATTGCAAGGTCAACCATCAACGAAGGCCATTGGCTCCCCTCCATGATGTCAAGGTCAATGACATGAATTTCGTTAACACCTCGCATGGCCTTGAGAATTGCCTGGTTGGCCATGAAATGTGCAAATTTGAGGTAAGGAGAGAGCTCCTGGAGCATCTGAAATGCGGACATTATGTTTGGCAACGGTCCAGGAACTACCAGTTTGTGGGAAATTTCAGCAGCAACATTAAGGCTCTTGTTGTGAAGGCCTTGAATGAAGAACAATGCCAACCTGTTGAAAAGGTTGTCTTCATTTTCCTTGGTATCCATTAATACAACTGTTTTAAGCTTCGAAATTATGTACAAAGCAAGGGGCCGGTCTTTGGCCTCAACAGCTTCAGCACCTGTGAATAAGAGTTCAGTTAAGCTGCTCTCTTCCAACAATTCCACTTGAATTTGATTGCTTCGTGTCAAAACATGAGCATTTTGCTCGGTTCCTTCGTTTACGTAAGGGGCAGATTCAAGGCCAATTATATGGTTCTGATTAATGTGCTCTACGTCTGATAGAGATTTTACCACACATGCAAATGGGTTAAAAACTCCCATATTACTTGCAAGAATGACAAGGTTGTTGTAGTATAAACGGTTCTCGCAAGGTCGTTCTTCACAGGGATTATTAAATAATTCAAAACAAACCAAATTCCAATTAATTATTGTAAAGCAGAAAGTTGAGATGATTGGTTTTATAACCTACTTAAATTAAAACGAATTTAATTAATAAAAATAAACTAATCTGCAATATTAAAAATGAAAGGGAAAGAAAACTGTTTTGGAAAAATCAAATTAAGAAAGCACTAGGGTTCCACCATCACCTAGCAATCCTATGTGTTTTTACTAATTACTTATGATCTACACATGCCACTTTGAATGTTAGGTTTTCCTAATTTATATTCTACTTGGAACCTCCAACATAGAACGTATATCTAACATGCAACCCGTCCGGACGTTCGGAACAAATCTAAACATGAGAGACTCATTATGCTTTATGAAAACCTTTTGAAAAACCATGCAACCCTTAAGATGTGGTGTTCATCTTAAGTGAAATTACAATTATTAATCACAAGAAGCCAACATCAATTTCAGGGAACCTTCCAAACAAAATTGCATCAAATTACTTTTCTAAAGATCTTAATGGTGATCAGGCATTAAGACAATTAGATAGTTTTAATCACGGTGATCAATAATTCAAAGTATGCATGCAATCAATCACAAGCAATTAAATAAAAATTACATATTCATACTAAGGCTTAAGGCTTCGCCCTAGCAAAAGAAATTAGTTACACATATTCATAATTGAAATCATAGAAAATATTATTAAGAATAAAAGGAATGCAAACACCTTAAAGTAGAAAATCTCCAAGAACTCTAGCCAAGTTCTCTGTCTCTCCAAAGTTATATAAAAGAAAGCCTCCCCCAAACCTAGAACTGGCCAAAGCCTTTTAATATCTCTCTAAAACCAGCGCACAAACCCTAACAATCAAGTATTTTATTCCCACTAAGAAACTAAATAATAATAAAATAAAATAGAAAATAAAGTCCTAATTAAACTAGGAAAAGCTGCACAAAAACTGTTCAACCACGTTTTAGTCTCAAAACTCCTCCAAATTTGGCCCAAGATAGCTTTTTTTAAAGATAAGAATGTTTTGAACACATCTCCAGAAGGCCACGAACCCATCCGAGGTCATCTTGGGCTCTAAAAATGCAAGTTAAGCCCAAAACGTCACTATTTCAATACTGCGCATTGCTAATTTATTTTATTGCCAGAAATTCATCGCTTGGTAGAAAAATCTGATATTTTGACACGATCAAGCCAAGTGACTTACAAACGTCCTCCAATTAGAATTACTCCAAATTTAATCCATTTGGCCATGTTTTGCTCCAGAAGAAGTCAAAAGTCCTATATTAGAAATACAATTCAAATTATCAAAATTCTTCTAAAATATTAACCAAAATATACTAAGAATAGAGTAAAATATATAATATGAAATTGACTCATCAACGTCCATGAGCTTTTCTTCTATTTGGAGCAGTTCACTGAGGGGCTGATCAAGGTGGTGCAAGTCTTCATGGACGGCAAACGGGACCAATGAATCTGATGTTTCTGGTGATGTTTGGAAGGTAGTTGCACTGGTAGTTCCAAAGCTACATTGGTATTGATCATGAAGTTCATCAATGTAGCCCAGTTTGAAGTCGAATGGATCATCAATTAGCTCAAAATCCATTGCATTTACGGGAAAAATGCAGCTTCAAATGGCTTAATTACAGACAATTAACCTTAAGCTAAGTATCCGTGCTTATATATAGTAACACAACTCACTAACCCTACCAAATAGGTTGGTTTGTTGTTTTTTTTTTTTTTTTGGAATAAACGATATTATCTACATGGGGAAGGAGATGGGCTTAGCCTCACAATGGGCTAGCAACGATGTAGTTCAAATTCGTCTTCAGTAAAAATCGAACCTAAAACCTCTCACTTAACCTTAAGCTAAGTATCCGTGCTTATATATTTTGACACAACTCACTAACCCTACCAAGTAGATTGGTTTGTTGTTTTTTTTTTTTTTGTTTTTTTGGAATAAACGATATTATCTACACGGGAAAGGAGATGGGCTTAGCCTCACAATGGGCTAGCAACAATGTAGTTCAAATTCATCTTCAATAAGAATTGAACCTAAAACCTCTCACTTAACTTTTAACTTTTCTAATATAAAAAAAAATCAATTTGCTTATTACCCAATAAAAGGGGTCAATAAATATAATGTAGACGTCCTACCGTTCGATAATCAAACTGACTAAAACAACGTATTTTATCTTCTTTACTCAAGTTCGAATTACCATGTTTGTTCTTTAAACAAATATAATGTAGACGTTGTAAACACGAAAAATTCCTGAAACAAGAAACAAGAATACGTGTACAAAATATATTTTTGTATTAATGATTTTGGGGTTACAATCTCTTTGTAATTTGATTCTCTGATTCTATTTTCGTAGGGTGTAGGTTTGTGGATGAGTTGTTGATCCAAAGGGCCGTTGGGGCTTGATCTAAGGATGAACAGTTGATGAATGGATCTTCAAGGGGGCGTTGGGCTTGATCTTGAAGAATGGGTGTATGAGTTTGTTGAGGTTGTTGATCTAAAGGGCCGTCGGGGCTTGATCTAAGGATGAACAGTTGATGAATGGATCTTCAAGGGGCGTTGGGCTTGATCTTGAAGAATGGGTGTATGAGTTTGTTGAGGTTGTTGATCCAAAGGGCCGTTGGGGCTTGATCTTAGGATGAACGGATGATGAATGATGAACACTTTCTTCAAGGGGCCGTCGGGGCTTGATCTTGAGTTGGTGGGAGTTCTTCAAGGGCCGTTGGGGCTTGATCTTGAAGGAGGATTTGACGAAGAACGAAAAGTGCTTTCTTGATCCTTCGGGATTTGCTTGAGAGCTTTAGAGTTTCAAGGCTTCAAGGTTTTGGTGTAATGTAAATTTCTCTTCCTTTCTTCCTCAAAATGAATACCTTGGCTTCCTATTTATAGAATTCCAAAACTTGATTTTTGGATTTAAATAATCAGATGAAATAAATCATTTCTGCCAGGTATTGACACGTGTCCTATTTGATGACTTTTCCAATTTATTTCGATTTTTCGTTGAGTCACACGCTACATGTAAAATTTATGTGACACGTGAGAGTTGAAATTTTAATTATTGGTCAACATTCATTTCACCGAAATTTTGATGTCTACAAATGCCCCCACTTCAAGGCGTGTCGTAGACATGTGCTTGTCACATGTAGAAGATGCGTTTTGAAGTCCCTTAATGTAGATGTCAACCCAAGGGCCGTCGAGGCTTGATCTTGAATTGGGCTGGAAATTTCTTCAAGGGCCATCGAGGCTTGATCTTGAGTTCGACTGGAAGATTTTCTAGTTTCCTCCAATCGTTGATTTTCCACAGGCTTAATCTTGAACTGGGCTGGAGGATTCTTTTGCTCTCCTCCGAAGGTCTGAACTTACTCCTTTTATCTGGAGTTAAATTTGATTCAAGGGTGGTGAACACTTGATTTTGAATCGGACTTGTGATTTCTTCAAGGGGCCGTCGAGGCTTGATCTTGAGTGAAAATAAGACCATGAGTGGTTTCAGGATTCAGACACATGGCAGGCAAGCATGAGGTGGAGGTGATGACCTATTTCTTTGTTCAATCTTTCCAATTCATATTTGAAGAGGGTTAGAGGATGACTCAGCATATGCAGTTGTTGCGTTTGCTGACGATCCACAAGATTGATGTTTCATTGTCACTCGTCTTAGCTGTTCTCCAGACAGATGCGATCCCTTCTCTGGAAGTGTATCAACCGTTGAAGATGACTACTCGAGAGCAACGCTAGGTAAGCAACTAGGGAATAGATTCCAGGTAGTCGGTTCCAGATCGGAAGACTGACTCCAAGTGCCGGCTGATTGCTCTCTTTCACTTTGCTATGAGAGTAAGAACAAGGACAAAGGAAAGGACATGGAGAAAGCATGATATGAGATACCTTTGCTTTTGAAGAAGCAGCGAATGAATCAGCACATATATTTGTTGTGCTTGTCTCCACATGCTTCGATGTATCATTTTCACTTGCCTTACTTGCTCCTTTTGCAGAAGTGGTATTTCCTTATGCAGGTTTAGCGTCTTCTCTTGTAGTATTTGTCCTCTGATACAGGAGTGGAATGCAAACCTTGCATTTGAATGGACCATCACTTCTTGGTGGCAGCGCAAGTTTGAGTGGAGGTTCCGACATATTGTTTTCTCTGTCCTTGTCTTGGCAGGTGAGAATAAGGGCAAAGGAAAAGACAGGGAAAAAGCATGATATGAGATACCTTTGCTTTCGCCCTCGATGATATGAGATACTTTTGTTTTTGAAGAAGTAGCGAATGAATCAGCACATATATTTGTTGTGCTTGTCTCCACATGCTTCGATCTACTGTTTCCTCCTGCCTCATCTGTACTCCAGGCATTTGGTATCTTCTTTGGGGAGGAAGAAAATTGAGTATTTCGGAAGGCTTTGCTGGGAGTGCGCCCTCAGAGGTGAGGAAGAGTTGGGCATTTTTTTTTTTTTTTGCAGGTCTGCCTTGCCATAAAAGATGAAGGTCGACATATATAGGGATTTCCCAATAGCAAGTGATGGTACTGTTCCTTTACCATTGTCGACAACTATTGGGTAATTGAAACAGTAAGATTCACGCGTTCTCAACTTTGTCAGAAATCTTTGACAAAGTTGCTTGTAATGTCTGCAAAGTTGAGGTTACATGTGAAAGGTACTGACAAGTTTTGATCCAGCAAATCTGGTTTTTTTTTTTTTTGAAATTCAAAGAGTGATGACTCTACGATCCTTGAATAAGCGGCCCAGCTTTTGAGGTTCGGAGGGTGTTACCTCTTTGATTTCTGAACAAACGCTTCTTCGATTTTTTGAGCAAGCGTCTCTTCGATTTCTGAACAAACGCCTCTTTGATTTCTGAGCAAGCGCCTCTTCGATTTCTGAATGAACAACCCTGTTCCTCCTTCTTTTTTTTATAGAGGCAAAAATTGTGTGGTAGTTGGGATAATGACCTCCACGCGTTTTCAACTTTGTCAGAGATCTTTGACAAAGTTGCACGTGTTATCTGAAAAGCTGAGATTGTGTCTGAAGAGCGTTGCCGAACTTTACGCAGGAAAATCCGGCTTTTAAGAGTGGTGTCTCTTCAATTCTGAATCGGTGATTGTGTCGCCTCTCCTTTTATAGAGGTGATCAATCACCTCTAACATGCACACTTTGAAGATTGCCCATTCGTGAAAATCGTCTCCGGCCCGTTGAGATTTTACTCCATCCATCCTTTCTCTTTTAACTTCTTGAAAAATGGCTAACCCATCTAACATTTGCTTAGATTTGAGTCTTAGTAGTGATCCGGTCGCGCCGCGTCAGGGTAAGGTATGGTGCCCGTCTTTCTTATCTTCTAATGGCCCTCTTACAGGTGAAGACTCTGTGATGACGGATGCAACAACAGCTACGATAGTAGCTCGGAACCTCCTCACTCCTAAAGATAGTCAGCTGCTTTCAGGACGGTCCGATGAGTTGGCCGTTCAAGAGTCCCTAGCTCTCAATGTTCAGTGCGCGGGCTCTGTGTCCAACATGGGCCAACACCTACTTGCTCGATCCCGTCAGGTTGAATCATTGATGGCAGAGGTGGAAAATCTCAAGCAAGAGATCAAACAGCTTAAGCACGAGAATAGAAGTTTGCACGTGCTTGCAAATAATTATTCGACAGGCATGAAGAAGAAGCTTGATGAGATGCAAGAATCTCAAGGTCGAATTCAAAGTGACCGTCAAAGGCTTGCGTCTTTCTTCCAGAGGCACCTTTTTCCTGCGTCATTTAGCGTTCCACCAAGCATTGGGGCCTCGAATGATCTATCTTCGGTGCCTCCCGCTCCTGGAGTTTTGCCAAGTAATGGGGCTTCACATGAACAACCTTTGTGAAAGCTCCATCTGTTTTTTTTTTTTTTTTTTTTTTTTTTTTGTACGCACTTGTAATTTCTCGGAGATTAATGGACATGCTTTATTTTATTCAGTGTATTGTGCTAAATACAGATAAAACATATACATCACCAAGATGTGTTTTTTTTTTTTTTTTTCACTTGATGCCGTCCATCATCATTCCCTTTTATTTTATTTTATTATTATTATTTTTTTTTATTCTTTACCTTCATCATTGCTTCCCAACATCATCATTCCCTTTTATTTTATTTTATTATTTTTTTTTCAACATCATCATTGCTACCTCTCCACCATCATTCCCTTTTTTTTTAATTTTATTATTATTATTATTATTTTCTTTTCTTTGCTTTCGGTGGCACTGATCCACCAAGATTCCATCATTTCTTCTTCTTTCCAGACTGGCGTGTCCCTTTTTTTTTTTTTTTTTTTAATAATAATTTTTTTTATATATATATATATATATTCCCCACATGGTGCAGGGAGGACATGCAGAGGAGCTTGGAGTAGTAGGAGGTAAGAGACGGAGAAAGTCTTTGGGTGTAAGTTGACAAACTTTGGTTTTGTCAATCACATTCAAAGGCAGCAGCCATGGCGGAGGTGCAGAAGCAGCTAGATCTTGAGGTAGAGTGTAAGGCGTCGAGTTTGAAGACCGGCTAGTCGTTTGACAGCGGTCAATGAAGCTCTTCGTTAATTTTGATCATGGTGGCCAGAATGACGAGCTCGAGGTAGTGCAAGGCGTCAAGCCTGAAGTGGAGGAATTACAGTGGCGCTAGGTGATGAGCAGAGGGCAGATCACAGCCACTGAGCACAGCCAATAGACTCCCCCTCGTGAATTCTTACCGAGCCCATGCCAACGTTATGCATGCCATTCCTCCGACAGCTTCAACGCATTCAACAATTCAACTGAGTCACACAAGCTCAAACAACTTCAACTTTTCATCGAACTCGTTGATTCGGGCTATAGTTTCAGTCATCGCACAGATCTGGTCCTTATATGTTTCAGTGCAGCCCTCAAGAATGTGAAGGAGCATTAACATGCTAGCATTGAGCCTGGGCGAGATAACAGGGCCAATCATCGTGCCCGGATTCACCACAACCACATCCAGCCCCTTCTCCTTGGCAAATTCCCACGCAGCTTTCTCCACCAGCGTTTTCGATAATGAATACCACAATCCCTTCTGCTTGCAGTAGTCAATGTCTGTCCAGCAATCCTTGCCCTTGATCTTATCAGACGGCCAGCTTGGGCTGGGAGTGATGGCGGAGATGGATGACGTCAGCATCACACGGCTAACCCCAGCCTGCTTCGCCGCCGTCAGAACATTGAGCGTTCCTTTGATCGCCGGGTCTAGGAGCTCCTTCTCGGGGTTGTGGACTTGATCGACGATGCAGGGAGAGGCGAGGTGGAAGACGGCAAGGGGAATCTTGGGGTGGAACCGGAAGCGGCGCCGAAGTAGTTATTTGATGACGAGGAGCTGCTGGAAGATGAAGTCGTGGAGGCGGCAGAGGCCGAGGAGGAACAAGGGGATGAAACGCTTTTGGGTGTCCTGCCGGCGGGGATGAGTGAGAGGAAGGCTCTGATTTTCAGATTAGCGGAAGAGGCTGCTCTGTCGTATTCCTCAATGAGATTAACGAGATCCTCATCGGACTTGATGGATACGAGGGCATCGATCCTGAAATCCTTGATTGGATTCGGACACTCAACCCCGCCGAGCTCAATAGTATTAGGAATCGCGACCTTGCCTTCCTTGATGTGATTCGGAACTTGGACTCTGCTGCTTTCCCTTCGAAATTTTCTGGAAGCGTCGATGGTCCTCTAAACCCGCCGTCTGTTCCGTCTCCTGCCCCCGCTGTGCTTGATGGTGGAAGTTCAGAAAATAGAAGTGGGTCTAACTTCACCTTGGCTGCCTTTTCCGCTGCTCAAAGTCAAGCATCTGCATCAAAACGCCTCCAGAAAAAGAAAAGTCCGGTAAAGCACGAATCTATTTCTTTGTCTGCTGAAACAGCCGCAGCTCTGGAGGCATGTGAAAAGTGTCGACGAAGGTCATCTTTGTCTAGTCCTTAAACTCATTGTTTGATGTCCCTTTTAGTTATATTTGGACCTCTGAGTGGAGTAATATAGCCCTGTACTAAAGATGAGCTTCTTTTTGTTGAATTTGATAAACCTCCAGGGGAAACCAAGCATACCTTAATAGGGATCTGTCTAAAGCTGAGGACTGCTACACACAAGGAGTGAAATGCGTTTCTAGAAATGAGACATCTAGAAGCTGTCTTAGGGCATTGATGCTGTGCTATAGCAACCGTGCAGCAACACGTCTGACTGTTGGAAGAATAAGAGATGCACTTGGGAACTGTATGATGGCTGATGATGATGCTGTGCTGGCGAGATTGGCTGCGCCAACGTGGAGGGAGCTCGATGAAGAAGGTGGTGAGGATAGGCTCTCTCTCCGAGTTCTTTAGGCCTTGAGCTGTGGTGCACTCCATTTGATTTGGTGGATATTTTGTCACAGGCCTTGAGGTCTAGAGGGTCTAAGCGGATTTTGGGCTATGGAGGAGAAGCTGCCTTTGGACTTTGATGAGGGCCTGGATTTGTATATATATTGTATATATTTCCTTCTGTTTTTTTTTTTTTTTTTTTTTTTTTTTTTTTTTTTTTTTGGAAGTGGACAATGACCACTTGTAGGTGTCTATATATATATATATATATTTATATATATATATATTTATATTTATACAAAGAATATGTAAATTTTTTTTAAAAAAAATACAAAGTAATATTTTTTCCTTGTAATAAAACTGACTTTTATTTGTAAGTCTTTAATAAAACCCTTATTTTTTATTTTGATGTGACTGAACTCAAAGTTGAATGTTCGAGCTGCCTACGTACTTTTCCAAAGAAAAGATCAAGTCGTAACATAGTTCAAATGAGTGATGGTTTTGATGATGATTTTGCCGTACACAATTTATGCTCTTGCGGGCCAGGAGCGTTTGGTGCGTTTGCTTTAGGGGTAGTAGCGCTTCAAAAATCTGCCATTGATGGGGCCGATCTTCAACCCGTCTTCTGCCATGATTAAGTAGGCGCCATTGGTGTAGATTTCTTGTATTACGTAGGGTCCATCCCACTTTGATGTGAACTTGCTTTTTGTCTTATGAGTTGTAATGATAGGCCTACGCAATGCCAGCACGATATCTCCGGCTTGGAAAGACCTTGGGCGGATTTTCTTGTTGAATGCCTTGGATAACCGTGCTTGGTAGCATTCCAAGTGTTGTTGAGCTTCGAGCCTTCTCTCATCCAGCGCTTCCAACTCCTGAAGGCGCAACTTTGCATTTTCTTCATCAGTCAAGCCTTCTTGTATAGTCCTTAGTGAGGGGATTTGACTTTCGAGTGGTAGAACAGTTTCTACGCCATATACGAGAGAATAAGGTGTAGCTCGGGTAGGAGTCCTATGTGTAGTCCTATATGCCCAAAGTGCTTCACTTATTCTTTCATGCCAGTCTCTCTTTGTTCGGCCGATTACCTTTTTCAGGAGGTTGCACAACGTCTTGTTGAATGCTTCCGCGAGGCCGTTGGCCGGAGCATGATACATGGAAGACTTATGCTGCTTGAACTTGTATTTGTCGCAAAGCTCGTCCACGAGTCGGTTGGAGAATTGCTTTCCGTTGTCAGTGATAATGTAGCGAGGCACCCCATATCGGTGGATGATATGCTCCTTGATGAAACGAACAACAGTTTCCTTTTTTACTTCCCTTAAAGGTATGGCTTCAGCCCACTTGGAGAAGTAATCTGTTGCAGCTAGGATGTAAGCTTCCCCTGCAGATGACTTTGGCGTAATTGGTCCTACAACGTCCAATCCCCATGCGTCGGACGGCCATGAAGCAACTGTAGGGTGTAATGGTTCGGGCGGTTGATGTATGAAGTTGGCGTGGAATTGGCAGGCTTGGCACCTTTTGGCGTGTTCCTGGCAGTCCTTCACCATGCTCGGCCAGTAGTAACCCATTCTTTTAAGCCGGAAATGTAGCTTTGGTCCAGACTGATGTGCCCCACACACACCTGAATGTGCTTCTTCCTCACCTAGGCATCTCAGGAGCACTCCTTCAAAAAAGCGTCGGTAGAGTGTTCCTTTGTAGTAAAGGAAGCAAGGTGCTCGTCGACGTATTTCGGAACGGTGTCTAAGATCATCTGGAAGCTTTTCGTGCTCTAAGTAGTCGGTCAGCGGCTGTCTCCACTCTTCAGCATCGACTGGAAGTACTGAGATGACATTTGTATCATCTAGTGACATTTCATTAACGAGCGGAATCACCCATCTTTGGCAAACTGGCACGTCTGCAACTTCATCTTTTCCTAGTGTCATACTCGAGGCTAGATTAGCGAGAGCGTCTGCCATTTGATTTTCCTTTCTTGGCACATGTTCTAGTGTCACAGCTTCGAACTTTTGTAGCAGTTGGGTCGCTAGCCGGAAGTATGGGACGAGATCATCTTTCCTCACCTCATATTCAGTTAAGAGTTGATTGATTATGAGCTTGGAATCGCCATACACCTCAAGAGCTGTGATTTCCATGTTGATCGCCATTTGGAGCCCGATTATCAATGCTTGGTACTTAGCAACATTGTTGGAGCATAGCTCATTCAGTTGGAAGGAGTAAGGTAGTATTTGCCTTTGTGGCGTCATGAATACTACTCCTGCCCCCGCTCCGTCTGCTCGTGCGGATCCATCGAAGAACATCGTCCATGTCGGGAAAATATCGATGTAGAACACCTCTTCATCAGGCAAGTCGTCTGAGATTTTCCAATCAGCCGGGATTGGATGATCGGCAAGGAAGTCTGCTAGCGCTTGTCCCTTGACGGCTTTAGCTGAGACGTAGATGATCTCATATTGATTAAGAAGCAAAACCCATTTAGCGAGTTGCCCCATCAAGACTGGCTTAGACATAACGTATTTGACAGGGTTGGCTTTAGCAACCAAGTGGATGGTGTAAGCATGCATGTAATGTCTGAGTTTCTAAATGGCAAACACCAAAGCGAGGCACATCTTTTTTATTGGGGAATAGTTCAACTCAGCGCCGGTGAGAGTTCGACTGAGGTAGTAAAGTGCTCCTTCTTTTTGGGATTCATTCTCTTGCGCCAAGAGTGCTCCGATTGAACTTTCCTGAGCAGCAATATATAATATGAGCGGTTTCCCAGGCACAGGTGCCCCCAGGACAGGTGGACTTGACAAATATTTTTTTATGCTTTCGAAAGCATTATGGCATGCTTTGTCCCATACGAATGGAACATCTTTCTTCATAAGGCGACTAAACGGTTGACAACGCCCTACGAGGTTGGAGATGAAGCGTCTGATGAAAGCTAGCCGTCCTTGTAGACTTTTCAGCTCGTGCAGGTTTCTTGGCTCGGGCATGCTTTAAATGGCCTTGATCTTTGATTGGTCTACTTCAATACCACGGTGTTTGACGATGAAGCCAAGGAATTTTCCAGAGGTGACGCCAAACGCACACTTTAACGGGTTCATCTTGAGGTTGTATTTTCGCAGCCTTTCGAACACTATTCGCAGATCCTTCAAGTGGTCTGATCTTTTCTTCGTCTTAACCACCACATCATCTACGTAACATTCTACGTTCTTGTGTAGCATGTCATTAAAGATTTTCTGCATTGCGCGTTGATACGTAGCTCCAGCGTTCTTTAGACCAAAGGGCATCACCTTGTAGCAATAGATACCTTTTGGAGTACGAAAGGCTGTTAGCTCCTCGTCTTCGAGGGCCATGCGAATTTGATTGTACCCAGAAGAGCCATCCATGAATGATAATGCCTCATGGCCAGTGGTTGCATCCACCATGATTTCAATGATTGGCAAAGGGAAGTCGTCCTTTGGGCAAGCATCGTTGAGGTCCCGGAAGTCTACGCAAACACGTATTTGTCCTGATTTCTTAAGGACAATGACGATGTTGGAGATCCACTTGGGGTATTGCACTTCTCGAATAAAGCCTGCTTCGATTAGCTTGTCGATCTCGACCTCGATTTGTGGGATAAGCTTAGATCGATAGCGTCTTTGAGTTTGCTTTATCGGTCGTGTTCCAAGCCTGATCGCAAGATGATGAACAGCGATGATAGGGTCCAGGCCGGGCATTTCTTTGTAGGTCCAGGCAAAGACGTCTTTGTACTCTAACAACAGCTGATAATACTCCTCTATCTCATCTGTACTTAATAATGCACTTACGAAGATAGGCTTTGGTTCCTTGCTTGTACCTAAGTTGAGTTCCTTGAGATCATCGACTGTGGCTTGCCCCC